CCAGCACAGCTCAGCCTGGCACGGCTCAGCTCAGCACAGCTCAGCACAGCTCAGCACGGCTCAGCCCAGCACAGCTCAGCCTGGCACGGCTCAGCTCAGCACAGCTCAGCTCAGCACAGCTCAGCCCAGCACAGCTCAGCCCGGCACAGCTCAGCCTGGCACGGCTCAGCCCGGCACAACTCAACTCAGCACAGCTCAGCTCAGCTCAGCATAGCTCAGCTCAGCTCAGCACAGCTCAGCTCAGCACAGCTCAGCCCAGCAGAGCTCAGCCCAGCAGAGCTCAGCCTGGCGTGGCTCAGCTCAGCCTGGCACGGCTCAGCACTGCTGCTGGTGCTGCCTGGCCGCGGCTGAAGCCGAATCCTTGGTGCTCGTTCCCGGGGAGCCTGGGCAGGCAGGCGCGGGGAGGCCGGGCAGCCCTGCCTGGCACGGTGTCCCACGGCCCGGGACTGCCCCGTGCCTGTGGCATCCCACCCCTTGCCTGCCCCCTGTCCTGCGCTGCCCATCCCTCGTGCTTCCCTCTGGCTCTGCCCGGCCCGGCTGCCGCCGAGGAGGGCCCTGCTGGTGCTCGTTCGTCTCTCCAGCGGCGCTCAGGTGCCAGTGCTGGGCTTTGCAGCGTGGGGCGCCGTTCGGTGGGATCCGGAACACAGCAGCAGCCCCAGCCCTCAGGCAGCCCGCAGCACTGCCCAGCAGTGCTAATGAGGGACAAATGTCTCACTGCTCCGGGTAGCGCGACGCTCCTGAGCGCTCCTGGCACGCCCGAGCCAAAGCCCCACTCGCCCTGCCCACCTCTCCCGGCTCCGGCCCCACGGGTGCCACAGCGCGGGGAAGGGGAAGGGGAAGGGGCAGAGCCAGGCCCGCTGCGCTCCAAGCTCTCCCTCCTCCCCGACCGGCGCCAGCTCGGCTCCGCTGCCGAGCAGCGCGCAGAGCGCTGCTGCGCCCGCAGGAGCCGCAGGACTGGCCGCAGGCAGCGCCCGCTGTCCCTCGGCCGGCAGCAGCAGCGCTGGCACAGACGGGCACAGGGGCTGCAGAGCAGCGGTGCCAGAGGCTGCTGGCCGTGCCAGGGCTCCTGAGCTGCAGCCGAGGCAGCCTGGGACAGCTCGGGGGATCAGCCACAGCCTGCTCAGGGCAGCAGAGCTGCTCTGCACAGCTCAGCCCTGGCGGCTTTGTGCCTTTAATCCGCTTGTTGCCACATTCCTGTCTGGCCCTTCCCAGTCTCTGCTTCCCAGGCACGTGGGCGCAAGCTTATTAGGACTCATGATGCAGCACCAGGTATTTTCATCCATCCCGACTATCACCACAGCCTTTTCTTTCAGGAACCCCGACTTCACATGTACAGGGGCTCTCCCCAGTCAGCAGAGGCAGAAGGGGAGAGAGCCAGGGCTCCCCAAAGGATTCTCCTCATATCTGGAGCCCTCCTTAATATTTAGACATTCCCCCGCAGAGGCACAGGCAGTGTCCCTGAACAGGGAACAGCATTTACTTCATGGCAGAAAGGAGAATGAATTCGTTCATCCATCGCTTATGGTTTCTTGGCTGGCAAAACCAGAAGATTTGTGTTTAACCTCCTGAGGCTGTCCAGGATGATCCCTTAGAACCCTGCCAGCCTGGGCAGGGCCCCGCAGTGAGGGACACTTTGGGATCGTGGGCTGGTGTTTTGTTGCCATACCTGCAAGGATTCCTGCACACCCTGAGCAGACAGCATGGGCAGGAGGGACAGGGGGACAGCTGGAGGGACATTCTGCAAAGGCCACAGCTAGGGACCCAGCCCTGTCTGTGCAGCAGGAGCAGGACTCTCTTTAAGGTGATGCTTTGAGCTGGATGGGTGTCACCCAGGGATGGGGGCAGGTGCCAGCCTCCAGGATAGGTCAGCTCCTCCAGCTCTGGCAGCTCTGGCAGCTTCTTGGTAAGGGCATACCAACTGCATGAACATATTATTTCTATTTCTAAAAGTCTGAGAAAACAACCACCATTAGCACAGCTCCCAGTTCTGCTCTTTCGGTATCATATAATTTAGATTAACGGATATTTTGCAGATGCCACCAAACTTGACAAGATATAATTATTTTCAACAAGAAAAAGTTGGTTTTTTGGCTGCTTTATGAATGTGAGGCTGTTCCCAAGCAGTGATCCTGCAGCACGCTGTACTGAGCTCCGGGAGCTTCCTTCACCTTTGTGCTGATGTTTGCGATCAGGCTGCCCTCAGCAGACCCTGCTGCCACCGTGGGACAGCACCTTCCCAGGTGGTGCTGGGTGCTGGGTGCCCCTCCGGGCTGCCGTGGCCGCTCGGGATGGAGCAGGCTGGGCAGTGCCAGGCAGAGCCTGCGCCTGCCGAGGGACTCCAGGGTGACCCTGGAGAGAGGAGCTGCGGGAGGCGGCCGGACGGGGACGAGGGGGTGTGAAAAAAGGGCAAAAGGGTAAAAGTGCCACCCTGCAGCACGACGCGGCCACACGAGCCTTGTCTCTCGGCTGCGGGCTCTCCCTGTGCCCTGCAGGTCTATATACATGAGCCACAAATTGCCCCTGAGCTCCCAGGTGCCCCCAGCCCAGCGTGGCCCTGCTCCCCCCCGTCCCCAGCGCCTCCCGTGCTCCCACTGCGTCCTGCGTTCCCCCCGCCCCATCTTCTGGGGCTCCCCGTGCCCTGAGAGTCCCTGTGCCCCTTGTCTCCATGGTGCCTCCCTGCCCCGTGTCCCCGGTGTCCCCCCGGTGTCGCCCAGTGTCCCTCCGTGTCCCCGGTGTCCCCGGTGTCCCTCTGTGTCTCCGGTATCCCCCCGGTGTCTCCCCGGTGTCCCCGGTGTCCCTCTGTGTCTCCGGTATCCCCCCGGTGTCTCCCCGGTGTCCCCCCGGTGTCCCCCCGGTGTCCCCCAGTGTCCCTCCGTGTCCCCGGTGTCCCTCTGTGTCTCCGGTATCCTCCCGGTGTCTCCCCGGTGTCCCCCCGGTGTCCCCGCGCCGCGAGTGGCGCTCGGTGTCCACCAGGTGGCGCTGTCGGAGGCCGCCGCCGCCCCCCGGAGCCCCGGGACGGGCCCGGGCGGGACCGGGCGGGACAGGGCGGGAGCGGAGCCGGGAGCGGAGCCGGGAGCCCCCAGCCCGGAGCCCCCAGCCCCAGCCTGCAGCCCCCAGCCCCAGCCCGGAGCCCCCAGCCCCAGCCCGGAGCCCCCAGCCCCAGCCTGGAGCCCCCAGACCCAGCCCGGAGCCCCAGACCCACCCGGAGCCCCCAGCCCCAGCCCGGAGCCCCCAGCCCCAGCCTGCAGCCCCCAGACCCAGCCCGGAGCCCCCAGCCCTTTGCCACCAAAGCACCAGAGCTCGCCTGTGACATTCACATTTTGTGGACAGAGAGACGTAATTCTGCCTCTCAAGAGAAGTATAGAGAGAAGAGGATAAAACAGTCTTTATTTTTGTTCTTGTTTTCTCTCTGTAGAATGTGGTGTGGAGATTGTTTACCTGCAGTGATGGCTGGGATGGATTCTGGTGAAGGGTCTTTGGGTTCAGTGACCAATGGATCCAGTTGTGGCTTGGACTCTTGGCAGAGAGTCACAAGTTTATTAATTAGTTATATAGGTAAGTAAAAAGTAAATATTTAGATTACTATAGTATCCCTTTAAATAGTATATTAATATAATATAGTATAGTTTTAATAAAGCTATCCTTCAGCCTTCTGATCTGGAGCCAGACATTATAATTTCTTCCCCTGATCCGAGGTTCACTGTGCTTTTACTGTACTCTTATTTTTTAACTCCAAGAAGCAGTTTCCATGGTGGGAAGCATTTCCATTGGCATGGGAATGCTGGCGGGTGTTGGCTTCGATGACACCTTTGATGGGAGAAAGATTAAATCACTTTTTTCCTTTTAATATTTGGTTGATATGGTGAAATATTCAATATAAATACAGTCACTGTTCTTGCTTTAATTACTTTTGCTTAAATTGTGTATAATATTAAATATTTCACATTATAATCTATATTATGTTGTATTTCATAATCTATTTTTATGCACAAAAAATTTGATCATGTCAAGAAGGAAGGTCACATGCTTCTAAATTAAAGTTTGTTTGTTTTTTTCCTGTATGGTGAATATTAAAGATTTGTTCCAATGTAGAGGAGAATGTGTGTCGTGGTGCTGGTGTGTCCCACGGAGCACGGGTATCTGAGCATTCCAAAGCACAGGTTTCAGCGTGGTTTTGAGGCTGACATGGTTCCTGAGCACGTCCCCATCGCTGTGCTCTGCCACCATCTTGCCTCCCCCCTTTAGCCCCCCCAGACTCAGGGTGTTATGTGGAACGGTCCCAAACATCACTTATTAATAATCACATATTATGTGAGGTGCCCAGTATTGATTTAAACCCGGGGCAACTTTTGGAAGAGCAGGCTTAATTTATAGAAACTCTGATGTCTGATAGCAATAAATAATTAGGTGATCGCAAGAAAAGGGATCAGAGGGCTCTACCCTCCGACTCCAGCTGGCTGCTCATGTCCCGCTAATAAATTGGTTAATAAAAGGAGAAAGAAAGCCTGGATTCTGGGGTTATAAAAACAAATGACATTTTTATGTTTAGTGGACAGGAAGATCTGGGGAGGCAGAGAAGTCAGGCGGGTGCCTGGGAATCACTCTGCGTTCGGCATCTAAATTTCCTAATGTCATTCTCATTAAAAGTTCTCGCTGCTTGCTCTGCCCTCAGAACTGCCCGCACCAATTAAAGGAACTTGCTCGGAGTTGTGTTCCTGCAGCATGGCTCCCATCACCCGTGGGACGGGGAGGGAGGCACGGACGGACCCCGGCCTGCGGGAGCAGCACAGGCATGGACACGGACACAGGCATGGGCACGGGTATGGAGACACGGGTATGGACATGGACAGGGGCATGGACACGGACCCAGGCACGGATACGGGCACGGACACGGACGTGGAGACACGGGTATGGAGACACGGACACGGAAATGGACATGGACACGGACATGGACATGGACACGGACACGGGCACGGACATGGAGACACGGGTATGGACACGGACACGGACATGGGCATGGACACGGACACGGACACGGGCATGGACACAGACACAGACATGGACATGGACACGGACACGGGTATGGACAGCAGCCCAGGGGCACAGCTGGGTGGGCACGGGTGGTGGGCACAGGAGAGTGGGCACAGCAGAATGCGCACAGGTGGGTGAACACAGGTGGGTGGGCACAGGAAGGTGGGCACAGGAGGTTGGGCATGAGAGGTGGGCACGGGTGGGTGGGCACAGGAGGATGCACACAGGTGGGTGGGCACGGATGGGTGAACACAAGCAGGTGGGCACGGGTGTGTGGGCACAGGAAGTTGGGCATGGGAGGGTGGGCACAGGTGGGTGGGCACAGGAGGGCAGGCACAGGAGGGCAGGCACAGGTGCATGGGCACAGGTGGGTGGCACAGGCAGGCGGGCACGGGTGGGTGGCACAGCCCTGCAGCCAGCCTGCCCTGCCAGAGCTGCTGGCAGCCTGCCCCCTCGCTGCCTGCCTGGCACCCTGGCTCGGCCCCAGCCCTCAGCCTTGCCTCCCTGCCAGGAAAGCTGCGCCTAAGGAGCCGTAAGGAATCGCCTGGCTGCAGTGAAAGATCTTCAGGGCAAGAAATCAAATGAAATCTTCGTAGTGATGAAGTGAAAAATAAAGCACGGTTTAAGAAAATCGTCCTTTTCTTTGCCGCCGGGGGAGGGGGTCCAGAAGGAAACCCAGACGAAGGTGCTGAAGGTCTCAATCATCCCACTGCTTAATTATTCTATCTCTCAGAAGGCATCTCCAGGCAATTAGAATAATCATTCATGCCTGTGCTTTACAGGGACTCTCACATTCTTCCCGTGAAGCATCAGAGCTGGATTGTAATATTTTTTTTAAACTTTAACAGTGACCTGCAACTAAAAGAAAAATAAAAGTTTTTTGAAATATTAGTTTAATAAGACATGAGAATAATATTAAGGATATGAGCCTCCCTTATTTATTATTTATATGTATAGTGTGATTTAGAGATGCACTTGAACCAAGCAAGTCACTACCAAAGAGTGGATCTATCCCTCTCTATATATATTAAAAAAACCTACAATATTCGCCTGGAGATTCTGTCCACATATTCGGAGATTGTGATTTAACATACACAGTTTATCAAGGCTGGTGTGCTGCACACAGAGGCTGGGGTTTTATGTAAGGGTATAAATAATCAATGCACATAGCAACTTTAAATTACTGCTAATGTGTTTTACTTATGTTCCCACTAGAACAATATGTGAAATAACAGGGAGTTGCTAGGCACACGCTTGACAAATAATATCCATGCGTTTCCATTTTTATTATTTTTATACATTTCTTATTAAGCCAAGTGGTGCAGTTCGGGCCCATGCAGGCAGCAGGCCCTCGCTGCCAGAGTACAGCGGTGTGAGCTGGAGGGGAGTGCAGCGGGGCTGCCAGGGCTGGGCTGCGCCACTGGCACTGGGGGTGGCACTGGCACCGGCCCTGGCACTGGCACTGGGGCTGGCACTGGGGCTGGCACTGGCACTGGGGGTGGCACTGGCACTGGCACTGGCACTGGCACTGGCACTACGGGGCCAGCAGTTCTCCGGCAGGACTGTTGGTGAGCAGCTCTGCCTGCAGCAATGCATGTTCACAGCAATCCACGCTCATAGCAGTGCATGCTCACACCAATGCATGCTCACAGCAGTGCATGCTCACAGTGATGCATGCTCACAGCGATGCACGATCACAGCAATGCATGCTCACAGCGATGCATGCTCACAGCAGTGCATGCTCACACCAATGCATGCTCACAGCAGTGCATGCTCACACCAATGCACGATCACAGCAATGCATGCTCACAGTGATGCATGCTCACAGCGATGCATGCTCACAGCAGTGCATGCTCACACCAATGCACGATCACAGCAATGCATGCTCACAGCAGTGCATGCTCACAGCTGGCAGACCTGCTCCATGAGATGCTGAACCAAGCCATAATCCACCTTTTCTCTTCTGCCATTTACCTTGCACGGTGTCTGTGAACATCCCTGCTGCACCGAAACATGCACCCCCGGGGGGATTCTGGAGCAGCCCAAACCCAGCGGTGCCCTGGGCCAGCCACAGGGCACACACACTGCCAGGAGAAGGGCAGCCTCGCCTGGCATGCTCGAGAGAACCCATCGCAGAAATCCCAGTATTGAACATGGCACTAGTAGGAAAGCACTTGACTGGGAAGGAGGACAGATTTGCTCTAAAGCATGTAATCATCTCATCTGTGTGCTCTAGAGCTCTTACAAAACCTTCTCTGCTCTTAAGCAACGGGTATGTGAGGAGCAGGGAGCACTGCTCAGGGCCTGCCCCTCGCATCCACAGCCCCCCCAAACCACAGCAGGGAGCTTTCCATTAAAACTACTTAGCAGACAATAACTATTTCTCTGTAAACAAGTCTTTGAGTGTTTATTACTATGTCACCATCAAAGCCATACAGTTGTGTGCTATGTTTAATGGAAAAAAATTAACAGTGTTTTGAAACCCACTCCACATAGAAATGCAAATGGATTTCCCAGGGCACATAGGCTTGAGCTGTCCCTGGAACTATCAGGTGCCCCTGGACATTGGCACAACCTCCATTCTGATGGTACAAACCCCCTTCACTGCATATAGAAGCAATAAAGAACCAGCAGCCTTTGCACAAATGTCCTTACAACCCAAATGTCCTTTCTTGCAGTGAGAGCAGAGTCCAGCTACACAGTGTTAGTGTTAATTGAGAGAGTCACCTCAGTCTCCCTGAGAGCTCAGGCAGCCCCAAAAACGATAGCCAGATGAGAGGGGCATCACCTGGGACTGGCAGCTCACAGGACCTTTCTGCTGGGGATGAAGTAACAGCTGCCAATGAAGAGTGTAGCTGTGTTATGGAGAATATTAATTTGGGCAATGTGGCCATCCAGATTATCCTTAAAATGTATTTCCAAAGAGTGGGCAGCTGTGACTGCCCAGTGCAGCAGCAAGGGGCCACCGAGGGCTGGGCAGGCCAGTGCCACCAGTGGTGCCCCTGTCCCCACTGGGCACGCTGCCTGGGCTGGCAGCAGCCACCACGGCACACACAGGGAATCATCCTATCATCCTCCCTCAGCACAGGGGGAAAACACCCCATTCCAGTGAAAAGCAGCTTTGGATCTTTAATTAAAAACCAGGGTTCACAGCACCGGGGCATTGACTTCCACCAGTTAATCTCCATCACTTCATTTCACCACCAACTTCCATACTCTACAAAACTGCTGGAGACAATTTTTATTGATTGCTCTTCAAGCCGTCAAAAGCGTCCCCGGCTGATCATATGTTACCCCCAGACACCTTGTGCATTTCAGATAATAACTTGGTGCTCTACAGAAGAAATGAATTGGATGTGCAGTCAGTAACTGTCCAAGTGAATCATGTTACTATATGTCAGCAGCCCAGGCTCTGACTATCATTTTAACAGAGAGAAATCCGCTATTTTCATGGCTGTTTGAAATTATTTTCCAGATGAATAAGATATAACAACAACTACTTACAGGAAAGAATAATATGGGGAATCTGTTTGCTACTTGGAAACAAATCTTTCCAGTGTAATGCTGTTTAATATTATTTAATCTATAACTATGAACATGAAATTTTGAGACTAGCTTTCACGTAGTACAAAAAGCTTGTGATGTGGGGGAGTGGGAAGCTGCAGTTGGTATGGGTGATGGGTAGTATTTGCTTTCTTGTAACTGCAAACACAGTAATTCATACAGAAAATGGAACATTGCTAAAATGAGGTTGACAATGATGCATCCTGTTGCCAATCATTGGCAGTGAGGGTTTATTTTGCATGAACAATTACCATGTGCCAGGCTTACTTCCTTTTTCCGGGGTGTTTGGAGTGTGTGTTGTGCTCGGAATTGCTGCAAATAACTGCAAATGGATTTTGTGAGCTTGAAAGGAAGCAAATAATTTGGAAGCTCTCACCAACCTGGGAACTCGTTATTTATACAAGCCTTGTTTTTTTGTAGAACTGGCTTAATGTGTTGCCCAGGCCTGACCCTGGCAGGGCCAGGCTCCTGGGGCAGCCCAGGGGGCACAGGGGGTGAGTGGTGGGCACAGCCCTGGGCTCTGGCACCGTGGTGGGCACAGCCCTGGGCTCTGGCCCCGTGGTGGGCACAGCCCCGGGCTCTGGGCACCATGGTGGGCAGCACCCCGGGCTCTGGCACCACGCTGGGCAGGGCGACAGAGCGCGGGCACTGTCAGTGCTGTGGCACTGACGGATCTGCTGCAGGAAACCCCCACCCACAGGAGCAGCTGGCCCTTTCACTGCCTTATCTCCTGCTTTGCAGAAGACTGATGAGAGGGATTATTTGACTGATATCAGCCTGCTTTCCCATTTCCCCTCCCAGAGTTTCAGAATCCAGAAGTGCTGCACAGCCCCACCTCAGGCAGACGCCTGCTGCTCCTGACCACTCCATTCCAGCCTGGCTTGTTGTAAGAAAGGGCCCCAAAAGGACATTTCCTCGGGAGACAAGTGCCCAGCCACTTCTGCAGAGCCTCGCAGAGGCTGAGCCCACAAGCAGGAACACAACCCCTGGTGCCTGGCTCGGCCTGGAAATGTCTCCAGTGTGTCCCAGGAGCATCCTGGCGGAGAGCAGCCAGGTCCTCAGGTACACAGGAGTTCTGAGAGCTGTGCCACAGCAGGCAAAAGGATGGAAATAAAGAGAAGGAGGCTTGGTGGCATGGAGAAGGTCTGGGGCTGCCTGCAGCTTGGCTCCTTAGGGACAGGGGTCCCAGCCACGCTGTGCTGCAGCTCATCGTCTCTATACAGTGGAGTCCTTTTGCTGAAAGGGTTAAATACGTCATGAGCCACAACTGCTGCAAAATAGCAACTCACTCCTTGGGTGAGTGAAAAAAAGGTGGTTGAGGCAAACCATATTTACTCTGATGAGCCCTGGTGTTTTCCCGAGTCCAGAGGCAGGACCTATTTGCATACACATTTGCATGCACTACATGAGCACAGCTGTCCCAGCTGGGTACTAGGAGCTGTTTGCCACCCCTGACTGGCCTGGTCCAGCTCAAGAGCCAGGGCCCTGGAGAGGTGATCCCACCCAACGTGGCTGCAGGGCACCTTTTCCATGAGTGTTCCTTCTCCTGTGGGGCCCGTCTCAGCCCAGGCTGGGGCACCGAGCAGCCCCCACACGGTGGGATGGGGTGGGATGGGCCAGGCACATGCCAGAAGTGTTTTGGATCTGGCACGATGGAACACCACCAACTTCCCTCCCTCCCTCCAGCCTCCCTCAATCTGTTCCTCAGCTCCTCAGCTTCCCGCGCGGGTCCCTGATGTTCTGTCAGCGGCTCCCGGTGGGAGCTGGAAGCAGAAAATGGTCCTGCCACTCGCGGCGGCTCAGCCTGCTCGTGTTCCAGCTGGTAAGTCATAAAGAAATGGTAAAACACAACCCCCTCAGGGCTGCTGGGAGCTGGATCGAGTTTTTCCATCTCTCCCCAGAGACTGCTCTTTATTCTCGCTCTGACAAAACGAATGGCCTCGCGGGCTCTGGCAGTGACAGAGCGGCCGGCGGCGCAGCCACCAGCGCGGTGCCGCTCGTGTGGCCGAGCCCCGGCCCGGCCGGGCACGGCTCGCAGCTCCCCTGCTGCACGGGCC